TTGCTGTTACGATCCAAAACAAATGGATATTTTCATTACCAACTAATCTACCTATTGCCTTCTACGCTATTTGAAATGTCAGAAAATATTATTAAGAAATGCGCATTATATTTTATAAAGATGTCATTGTTAGTTTACTTTTTGTGTGCTAGTCCTAAAATAATATTGCATTATTTTACATATAATGCCAGTAGTGTTGTAAAATTGCATATAGACATAGTTGTAGTGGCCACCAAAGCTCTGAAACAGACAATTGTGGTTAATACCGGATGCTGACTGTCAAACCGACAAGAAAGAGGACAATTAAGTATGAAAGATGATAAAAGTGATCAAAATGCAATTTATTTTATATATTTTTGAACGGAGAGCAGATAGACCACCACTCTTCAATATATTTGTTCTTGTTTCAGACAGTGAAAGAGAGAAAGTGTGACAGCACATAGCGTAAGTCAGTTTGAAACCATATGCAGTGGCATTGTTTCATTGATTTTAATGGGACAGTATGATGTGGAAACATGACAGGAGACACAGGGGAGAAAACCCAAGCTGCGCTGCTATACACTACTCCCAGATGTGTGTGTGTGTTAATCCACTCACGCTAACAAAAGTTTGCTCAGTGTTATTCATCATCTGCGATGGAAAAAAACGCTTGTACCACTCTAAGCTCTAAAACAAGGAAGACGCGTTACGCTGAGAGATGGAAATAGATCATAAAATACCGAAACTGAAATGATTTCCCAGTCACACAGCCACTTACAGCGAGGAGGAACACAGGAAAAAGTGGAATGGATGGAGAACAGCGATAGCATAATTCACAGTATATAGACATCTAACATCAGCGCTGGAGTTATTCAGATTTAACAAGAAGTGGTGGGGGGTAAAGCGCTCATATCCTTTATTTTCCCAGTTAGCTGGCAAGAAGCTATGCATATATTTAATAAAGTGGATACACCACCCACATTCATCCCCAACTAATCAACCCCTGGGACTACAGTGGGAGTTGTGTTTGCAGTTCTTAAGTGCCTCACATTGGCAAAAGGTATAGTAGACAGTGGTTTCAACTGTTCCATAAGCTGCCATGCTACAGCACCAACCTCCAGTGAATATCGGCGGGTTATGCTGCACGATATTCTGTATGTGTTGCTGTGGGTATGTTTCTATTGTAGACCAACCCTCAGGCTGAATGAATGAAACATGCATGTCCAGTCTGCCCTTCTCCAAACACACACACATATATGCACACATACACAAGCTAAACATGTATAGCAGCAACTAGCGGCATTCATTTTCTAGACAGGGAGAGATGCCCTTTAACATGTAGATGTGTGCATAACCCTTAACGGTACTCTGTGAGAGCTACTTGTGTTTTAGATGAAGTATCGTTAACATATTGGTGCTACGCTGCTGCCTTTTTTCTGTCGTGCAATCTAGATAATTAGGACTCTATTTAGAGAGAGAGGGCCAGCCCAGGAAATACACAGGAGATCCTCACTTCATTAAAAATCAATTATCATAACACACGTGCCAGCGCAATACAGCCCTCATGGCCACAATCAGCTACACACGTGTGCAAACTCTCACTGTAGTGTAATGCACACCACAACAACTATCTTTTTGAAATTCATCCCTAGCTGGTTCTCTCCTTCTTTTTCCCCCTCAAGAGATTGTGCGGGTCTGATCCTCCTCTTAGCTGAGGAATCGCCAGCGTTGCAGTCCCGCTCTTACATAATAACCTCAGGATAACACACACACGCGCTCCCGCTGGCTGAGGACGCTGTCAGTCATTAAGCTCTGCCTGGGTCAACTCAGGATGGAAAGATGGCCCTCCCACTTCAGTGAAAGACATGTAGCTAAGAGCAAAATAATCTCTGAAAAACAGAAACGAGTGGCTTTCTTCCTCGCTATTGTTTGTTTAGAAATGGATGCCTGTCAAGAGAGGTTTGGAGAATAGCTGCATTATACTCTGGAGTTCTAGGAATTCACTTCAACTACAGCTTTGTAGATGTTACTTTCATTCTACGATGTACAAAGAATACCCCAAAAATCCATGATCATATATCCTAACTTTTCAAACAATAACAACACGGCGTCCTTGAAAAACCCATCGGATAAAACATCTTAATTCTTCGATAATCCACCATTGCATATAGAGTGTTACCAGGCAGTAAGCATGTATTGTTGACTGGATGGAAGTGGGAGTCCTTTGGTAAACAATTCACAAAGCCTCCGCTGCTGGGAGAGGGCGACCGCACGAACAGAGATGATGATACACCGAGTTGGCTGCACACACTGATGACATCACTTCCTTTAAGACTGTGACAGCTTAGCACATCATCGCCGTGACAGCCAGACGACTGCAGCGAGTGGGTGGTCACCCTGGCAACAGCAATGCTGTCATGACCGTCTCCCTATATCCTACCTGACAGACCCTGCTGGCAATGAGCACAACATACACTCAACAATGCACACACCCACACACACAAACACATATGCAAACACACATAGACACATGCACATACTTTATCTTCCCCTCCGTCTTTTTTCTAAGTAAAACGCTCACTCAAACCCTCTCGGAAACACGTACTAAAAACAATGCTCTTGCCCACACACCCATGCTCCTCCGGGCATAATTTATATGATACAAAGACGAGTACAATCTCCAATGGGGTAAAAAAAATAACATTGGAGGTATAATGTAATCACTGGAGACAAACAGTATACACGTATGTATATCCCCATAACGGCAGTAAGGTGTGGGCTGAACACATTAAGCTTGTCTAAACCCTTAGAGATTTACTTGTTTTGTGATTAAAAATGTAATCAAAGCCGATGTCCAAAAGTATGGAATACAACCGCAAAGAGATCAGTAAAAGATGAAGTAAGAAGAAAGGTGATAAGAAGCCAGCTGATGCATCGCTATCTGTTTATTGCTCATATGGTTTGTTGATAACAGCCAAGTCTTGGGTGCAACTGACCTGTTTTACAAACTATAAATAGTGCGTTTCGGGCCAAGATCATTGACAGCTCTGTGTATGTGTAGTCTGTGTGTCGTCCCAGTCCGGTGCGCCCCGCTCTGCTCTGACCCAGTTTGGAGCCAGTTGGCCGAGATTGGTGGAAATGGGTCACGTCTTGAGCCGCACCAGAACTCACTGCATGAGCTACGCTGCTTAAAGCACACGGTCAGAGTTCACTGATTCCCAGACAATCTGTTCCAAGGGGACACAATGATCTATTGTTAAGGTACATTGTGTGAATTTGGTTTCACAAGAGACAAATACATGGCATAGTCCCATCTGAATTACAACTATAAAGATAACTTTAACAAAGAATGATGCAAAACACATGAAAGTCAGTTCATAGTCCAGGGTCATGTCAGACTACAGGTCAGATTGTGGTTTTGAGACCTTTAATGCTTCCTGAAGGCCACTAGGGGGCAGATAATCAAGTGAAAGTAGCAATGAAAGGACAAACAAATGAATTATTGCATTTTTTATATCCCTTTAAAATCTTAACGTACTGATCATTGATTATATGAATCAGCTGGCACTTGCTTAAAAGTTTCGAAAAATGTAATAATACTTTTGATTGTGAATTATTCAAGGCTGAGGTGTAGATATAGTGTATAGACAACAGTGACTCTTCCTGCAGTTGCTTAGACTGTTTCCATTGATCCTCATTTGGGATTATCCAATTATATATACCGCAGTCATTCCTCCCTAGACGCTATATTATATACACACACACACACACACAATTCATTCTGCAAACAAAGCATATACACTTGCTCGGTGCAACTATTGCAGTGTGCACATAGACTCAAGACCCAATCAGACATGCATACAGGGACGCAAACTGCAAATACACTCATATAAAAAGACCAACTCCACCTTGCAATTATTGTATTGTTCTTAAGGGGAATCATTTAGGCACAATTATAAATATAATACCGCAAAATGTGTATTTTCTGTTCCTCTCAGAACATTCACACTTGCAGAATTTTCTTCAGGCGGGACCATGCAAGGAGATTACATGTCAATGGCTATTTTAGCTATGGCTAAGCCCGTGGTCATCAGAGGAGGGAACAAGCTTGTCGGAAAATAATTTAGGATTAGATGTCTAATCTCTTTATGGGTGTGCCACCTCTACATCCATCTCATATCTTAGTTACGGAACTGCAGCTCTCTCTTTACATTTATTATGGATAATAAGTGCAAAGACACTAGTGATAGGCGTATATGCGTTTTACGTTGAAATACTTCTGTTGTTCATAGTCTGTGCCTTTGGTTGTGACAGTTGATGGATCTGCCAATACACAGTGAGTAAAATCTTGCCAGAGAAGAAAGCTATTCTAAGGGTAGTGTGTGTGTGTGTGTGTGTGTGTGTGTGTGTGTGTGTGTGTGTGTGTGTGTGTGTGTGTGTGTGTGTGTGTGTGTGTGTGTGTGTGTGTGTGTGTGTGTGTGTGTGTGTGTGTGTGTGTGTGTGTGTGTGTGGTGTGTGTGTGTGTGTGTGTGTGTGCGTGCGTGTGCGTGTGTGAGAGAGAAAAAGAGAGCTGAAGAGTCAGTATGGTCCTTCAGTGATGTAACTGGCTTCTCATTAGGGGCAACCTTTCTAACCTGCAGGAGTCTCTCCTTCAAAGCAACTGGCACACACAATTAATGCTACACTGTCATTTATGTGTGTGTGCAGTCCTCTATGTCATTGTCCTTAGAAAATAAACTCCTACAAGGACATACAGAATGTCCAGATGTCATTGTGCCCTTGTGAAGTTAAAGTCACACACATCGTTTACGCAGACACATCGTAACCTCAGTCAAGTCCCCCAGCCAACCAGGTTATGCTCTGTTTCTTACCCTCAAATTAGACCACCAGCTGAGGTGCAAAACCCTGAGAGGGGACAGAGTCAGGTGTCGCTCTCGAAACTAGGAAACAAAAACTCGTTGGCTTGTACAAAGACATGTTTAGTAACGCACATCTTTTGTGTCCTCTCTCTTTACTTGCAGCCCAAATCGAGGTCATACCTTGCAAAATCTGTGGAGACAAATCCTCAGGTATCCACTACGGAGTCATTACGTGTGAGGGATGTAAGGTGAGAATCCATACACCTTTTCATCAAAGCCTGTTTTGTAATCATGCACATTCTGTCTTTTAAGGGTACCTGTACGTCTTTACTTATACTCTTTTTTGACATGTGACCAGGGTTTCTTCAGAAGGAGTCAGCAGAACAATGCTGCCTACTCCTGCCCCCGCCAGAGGAACTGCCTCATCGACAGGACAAACCGCAACCGCTGCCAACACTGTCGCCTGCAGAAATGTCTCGCACTAGGAATGTCGAGAGATGGTGAGGCCCAGTACATGAGTTTCTATATCTAATGATCATTGACTTATCATATGTGATGCATGATGTACCCTCATACATGCACACTTAGAATGCTGTTTGTCGTAGCAAAGACAGCAGAAGCTTTAAGCCACTGAGATGCTGCTTTGGTGACACTTGATTACCTTACATGATGAATGAAATGTCGGAAACAATAAGTATACGATGATACGTTTCCCGTTAAAAACTAATTAGCTTTCCATTAAGCATACAAAACATGATATTCCATAATTGAACAACTCAATTTAACAGCAAGAGGTTTCCTCAGTGTTTGTCTGTCTTTGGTAAAAAATGATTTATCTTCTGGCAGGACCTCTGCACAATCAAACATGGGTTCCTACTAATATAAGTAACGCTAAATCTTCCAAATATGTTTTTACACTGCTTGTTTCTTACTGATTTATGCTACCTGAAGAAGCTGAAAGGTTGTGACAGTTTTTTGTTGTTGTTAATCTTTCCCCTTTTTTTGTCTTCCCCCCGCACAGCGGTAAAGTTTGGCCGCATGTCAAAGAAGCAGCGTGACAGCCTGTATGCAGAGGTGCAGAAGCACCAGGCTCGGCTGCTGTTGGAGCGGCAGCAGCAGACAGGCGAGGCAGAAGCCCTCGCACGAGTTTACTCAACCAGCCTAACCAACGGACTGTCCACCCTTAACCATGAGATTGGGGGCACCTATGCCAATGGTCACGTCATTGAGCTGCCCAAGGGTGGCCATGTTAACGGAGCCGTAGTCCCAGGGGGATACTATGGGATAGACTCCACCCAGCCGTCTCCGGATCAGTCAGGGCTGGACATGTCGGGCATGAAGCACATTAAGCAGGAGCCGGTGTATGACCTGACGCCGGTGCCCAACCTGTTCAGCTATAGCGGCTACCAGGACATTCAGCTGGGACCCAACAACGTCAGCATGGGAGAGCTGGGTAAAGACTGCACTCTATTTAGCTTTTTTATATTCTAAAACCTAAAATCAAAACACAACTGGGCACACAGGCTAAAACAGCTGTCATATTAATGTATAAAAAACACGTTAGGAATGAGTTAAGGTTTAGGATTCAACTCATATCCAAGAGAATGTTAAATTAGGAAGTAAATGTGGATTTCATTAAGACAAGAGTTTATTCATCTTCCTCTAAGCTTTCAACATATGGGGAATATATCATATTTATTACTAGGGCGGCACAATGTATTTTTTGTATCGTCATGGGGAAAGACATTATAGGATATATTTTAATTGGTATTTGAAAGAGACTACTAGTACAAAACTGCACTTAAAATTGTAACAATAATTTGTTTTGGTTCAGTTCAATATCCAATTTACTCAATAAACTGGGGTTAAATTTGATTCATTACAAAAAATATTTCAAGCAATCCTACAATTTGCAGAAAACTCACTTGTTGAGCTGGCCCCACCCATGTTTTAAACCACAGAATCAAATGTAGAACGGTACAGAAATAAATGAATAAATGAACAATCCTCTCTTCCAGACCGTATTGCTCAGAATATCATCAAGTCTCACCTGGAGACGTGTCAGTACACAACAGAGGAGCTGCAGCAGCTAGCCTGGCAGACACACTCCTACGAAGAGGTCAAAATGTTCCAGGGCAAGGTGAGCTTTGATGTGATCACATCTTCATTTACAGACTGTGCCCACATTTGTTTTTTACAATGCACCATGTAACTATCTTCTTATTAAGTAAATTAATGAAATGTTCCTATTCCTTTCCTCGTTCTGTCATGTATTTGACTTTTTTGTAACTTCAGCAATACTAGTAAAAATGAAAAATGATGATTGAAAAACCGAGAAAAGCTATTTCATTAGTGGTCATTTAAATACATTTCAGTGTGTCCTCTTTGATTCATTCACATGAAAATTAAACACTTCTGGCCACAGTAGTCATAGCATCAACAAACTGAGGACTAAGTGTGTGAGAGAAGTTCATTTACTGGCATGAATTAAACCACATAAGTACAGAACATGTCATTTGAACCTGGGTGTGTTTGTTTCTAGCCCCGGGACGTGCTGTGGCAGCAGTGTGCCATCCAGATCACCCATGCCATCCAGTATGTGGTGGAGTTTGCAAAGCGCATCTCGGGGTTCATGGAGCTGTGCCAGAACGACCAGATTCTCCTGCTCAAGTCAGGTGAGTTAAGATGTCGACTGACGATAATGGGTCCGGGACATTGTCACGTTAAAAGTCTGACACTTTATTTAATGTGCCATTTTGTCATTATATCAGCTTCAAATGATCTCTGTTGTTCTTCCAGGTTGTTTGGAGGTAGTCTTGGTGCGGATGTGCAGGGCATTCAACCCTCTCAACAACACTGTGCTCTTTGAAGGGAAGTACGGCGGCATGCAGATGTTCAAAGCTCTAGGTAAGATATTAATACCTATGCAAATGATAATTAAATGGAAAAAAATCCTCTACCCTTAGAGTTATTTTTGGTTTGCAGCACATACATGACCGGAATAAGAGTAATGAAAATCTCTCTCTTTTTTTGTCTGCCCTTCTTTGTCCTCTTCTCCGCGTTTCCCTCTAAGGTTGCGATGACTTAGTGAGTGCCGTGTTTGACTTTGCCAAGAGTTTGTGTGCACTGCAGCTGACAGAGGAGGAGATCGCTCTGTTCTCGGCAGCTGTACTCATTTCCACAGGTCAGTGCACATTCCCTAATATTATTAGAATACAGGAAGCAACATTTGTGAACCTCAATGCCTGCATTGAAGCAAGGGACTTGGTATTGAGCAAAAACATTGATTACTGTCAAAGGGCATTATCACAAGCAATTAACTCCAAGTAGTTCTACTATTAATGTACAGCAGCTTCTGAGCCGTATCAACTTTTTGAACAGCTATCCATCATCATCATTTGTATTAAAAAACACCTTTTTCATACTCAGATCGGCCTTGGTTGATGGAGCCTCGGAAAGTCCAGAAGCTCCAGGAGAAGATTTACTTTGCTCTGCAGCACATTATGCAGAAGAACCACATGGACGAAGATGCACTGGCAAAGGTAGGCCATCCATGTGGCAATGAGAAGAGAACAAAACCCATCAATGCTTCTGACGCTGTTTGCAGTTAATCCAAATGTTCTTGTCCATGACCTTCTCTCTCTTGTGTTGCAGCTGATCAGCCGAATCCCAACGTTGTCAGCCCTGTGCACGCTCCACACCGAGGAGCTCCAGGCCTTCCAGCAGCTCCACCCAGAAACAGTCAACGTCCTATTCCCTCCGCTCTACAAAGAACTGTTCAACCCTGACCCCAACTCTGGGGTCATGGCCATGCCCAAGTGACTGCCTGTGGTCCCAATGCAAGAAACGGCATCAGCGGAGGACCAACAAAATGAGAAGACAGACACGTCTGACGAGACGTCATCAGCCATGACGACTATGTCCTCATCGTGGCAATCACATATTCCTGAGCTCCCCAAGCCTCATTACGAGCAGGGGGGTGAGGAGCTACCTGCCAGGAACTCACAGTTACCGCCAACAATACTAGGAATGTCCAGCACTTATTCCATCCTGTTCACCGATACAGTCTGAAGAATGTATATATAAATGAAACGCGCCCCAAGCCACAATTTAAGTGGGGCTTCCTCCCGTCTCCTGAACTGAACTGACTGACTGACCAGAAATGTACAGGCTTTAAAACATCTAGGAACAATTTTAACCTGTCAATCTTTAAAAAAAAATGGGTAAGTTAATTTGTTTTACCTTTGAAAAAAATCCTTTTGGTTTGTTCATTATTTTCGAGTGAATAATTGTGACGCTGGACGGGGGAGGGAACTGTGGATTTAGAGAAGCTATTGTAGATATTGTTCTAGTGCAGAGCGGATTCCAGTATTACTTCGTGTTCTGTTCAAATAAGTTAGTCCTAATTTAACTATACAGCAGTCCACTGTGGCTGACTATACCTTGTCTATGTGTTTTTATTTTATTTGATAGTTTCTTGTGTACAGAATTTGTAAAGTTGAGACTTGTAAAAGAATATTTGGTAAAACCAGGAGACGATTCGGATTTTGTTGATATATAGAAGCCTTGTCTGGATTTTGTTCATATGTAAAGAAGGTACTGCATCCTTCTGATGAGAACTTATAGAAATGTAAAGAGAGCATATGAAGGATTTAAAAAGAAAAATAATGGCTATTACTTTTCAAGGTGAAGATATATACATAAATATTCTATTTTGCAAGAAAAAATAATCTGGCAGTTTTGCCATCCTATCAATCATTTTCTTCTCGCTGCAATAATTACGTCCAATGAAAGATGGACTGCTTTCGAACAATCAACCAGAAACAACCAATCAGAAACTAGGACCTCACAATCAACCCCACCCCTTCCCAAATTCCCCTTACCCCGCCCCTTATTTCTTATGTATTAAGTCCGTGACATAAGATTTCAGCCAATAGAAGTGGCTAGAAATCACAATGAAGAAGTGGATAGAAGTTCCACCAAAAAAATAAGACAAGCTTGAATTAAACGTTTCAATCTTAAAAAAAACCTGTATGAGTGCTGGATGCCCTCCAATCACTATTTGCACAAATCAGTCCGTGGATGTCAATCACTCCGGGCTGAGAGTATGAAGGACCCTTTTTTCTCTAAAGAGCAATAATAACTTTCCACTGCCTTTCTGATCCCTCCTTTTCCTTCTCTTCCTATTTCCAGCTGTTCAAAACAGGGTAGCAGTTTTAAATAGATTGCACTATATTTGATCCTTTATTATGTTATAATCATCTTTATTGATGTTACTCATTCCACCGCAGCATCTGCAGTGTTTTTAATGTGACGTAACAGGATCTGGGGTTAGGACACAACGCAGAGCACTGAAAATGAAATATGTGAATAAATGAAGATTAGCCTCTGAGGATCTTTAACACTTTAAATGCTGCAATATTACATTGACGATTCACACAGACGGTTGAGATAGACAATCACTTTTCTGCTTTTCTTTTAGTCATTCCATAATTATTAGCACTTACAGATTTTCGCAGATTTTTCTATATTAATGTTCGGTTGACTTTGATTTGGCCACTGTGTAAAATCAGAGTATTTATCACTGTCTTTTTGCATTTCTCTATATGCTTACTTTTGTATAGAGATCTATGATGCGCTACAGAGAATCTCCTAAAACAAACTCCCCTTCAAAATAGCTATTTACCAAAATAAGTGACCCGTTACAAAATAAAAGCACAGCATTAATCAGCTGATAGTGCTTTTACAGAACATTTACTTGTTTGATATAATGACAATTTTGCCAAGAGGATTATCTCATTCTAAGACAGAACTTAGATTTTTTATTTAACTTTAATAATTATGATTAGTGGACAATGATCTATTGTTGTTCGTGCACTAAAGGTGGAGATATGATTTGTCTGTGGTTGCAAATACGCAGTGGCCAAATCCTCAATGTGCTTTAAGCATGGACACAATCAGACTAGTTATCCTTTAACTAAAAAAAACTTAAAAACACTTGAACATTACCGTTTGCATCCTTAGATATCCATATAGTCAACATAACGAGGTTGACCGCATGGGGAGTGAGCGTCAATGTAAAACATTTGTGATCAGCTCAGATCCAATCACAGGATCCTTCCTCCGACCCCTGACCCGACCCCAGATCAGAGGCCAGTGACTCTTAAGACAATCACTTGCTCATTAAGGCTCGATGCACTACTGCATCTCTCAGGGAGCAGCTCTTTTTCTGTCTTTGCATTAAAAGAGGGTTGAATATTTTTGCAAATTTACAAAAGAATATGTAATTATAAAATGAAACTTTTTAGGATAAGAAATGGCATACGCTGCCAAAGTATGCTGGCAATGGAATCTGCCCAGACAAGGCTTTGCTAAGTGTGTGTCTGTGTGTATGTGTGTATAGAGCATGAATTCACTGTCCAAGTCTCTTTAGAGCCCAGACTATATGACAAGCATTGTTACGTAGCACATGAAGAATAACAAAAAAAAATGTTTACTGCTTATTTTTGCTGCTTTTGGGACATTGAGGGAAGTCCACTGGTAAGCTATGAATCAAGCGCCATCACAACACCCCGGGACAGTGAATTCCAACTCTGATGATGAAGTTTATTGTGTATGATGCTTTTATTTTCCCTTGTTAGACTGTGAATCAGAGGGGTGAGATGGGGTTATGAGAGGGGAAGAGCTGGCAAGTAAGAGTGGCAACACAACACTGTAAGTAAGAAACTGTAGCAATAAGAACTGGAGGCATTTACTACTGTCATGTTTGCATTGTAAGATTATTTTTTATTTTATTACTATTTACTATTATTATTGTTCTTATTATGACTACTATTCTTCTATTACTATTAGCCTATTGTTGTTCTGTTCTATTTGCATGACGTTTCACTGCAATGAAACATTTGGGGCTTATTTGTGTTTTCTCTTCTCATGATATTGTTAGTTTCTTGGGAGGGGTTTTTCGGAAAGGGCGGTACAGGAGAAATTCAGTCAGTTCAAAGCAGATTCCTTTCACAAGCTGGAAGATTTTTTTAAATAAAATGCTCTTATTTATACACGACCAATTTAAACTTTGTGGTTTGATTTGAAATGTTTTTTCTTTTCTCAACCGCTGAATGTGTGAGTTGGTTTAACCAGTGAGTGGCCCTTTCTGAACTGGCCTTTTTGAACCGGATCAGAGACCCTTAACCTGCGGTGGGAGGGAACTATGTGGGTGGGAGGGGGGGGTAATCTATTCTGAATGTTATGGAGTAGCCTGTTTAGTGTGAGGGGCTGAACGCATCACGCGCCTTTACCACTCCATCAACACAGAATTACATCGCAAATCGCACAATAAAACTAGTCGTCATTTTAAGTGACGGCTCCGACAAATTGCGCAGACATTTTTAATACACCTGGTTTGAAATGCATTTCCTACACTTAATAAATACACTCCACCCCAAGCCTCCTCCTCCCTTTCCTGAGAAAACCTGTGTGTGTGTGTGTGTGTGTGTGTGTGTGTGTGTGTGTGTGTGTGTGTGTGTGTGTGTGTGTGTGTGTGTGTGTGTGTGTGTGTGTGTGTGTGTGTGTGTGTGTGTGTGTGTGTGTGTGTGTGTGTGTGTGTGTGTGTGTGTTTGAGTGTGACAGAGAGAATGAGACGTTTGCTCTACCAATGCTTTGTAAACGTTCTCGATACAGTACCCATGAGTGCAGTTGGAGTAGTGTTGAAAATTGTTAATTTATTGTTTAGAATGTCTTTGCGTCCCAGCAAGAGCAAATAAAACAAAATGTAGCAAACTGTAACCGAAACCTAAAAGGTGCTTAGGCTACAGAACCTCTTTTACACAGGACTAACAAAACAAGACAAAAAAAAAACAATAAAATGCGATTTTTTTTTGTTTCAAAGTGCCATAGCTAGTGAGGAGAGGAAGGACTGGCAGAGTGGGGCGTAGATGCTTTACTGTGTGAGTTTACTTGAGAAACCAATCAAAAAAGGGGAACTACATGAAAAAGTGTATTTGATTACACTTACAGTTTTTACATTTTATGCTTTTTTTTCATTTGGTAAGAGGGATCTCTGCTGAACTCTGAACTCTGACTCTACTTTTAATCCATCAGCTGTACTGTAGATTTTTTTATTTTCACATGAGAATGAAAGAGTGTGTCTAGGTGTGTGTGTGTGCATTTGCATTAAGAAGAGCCACAAACACCCACACTTGATGGATCAACGTGGGTTGAAGTTCAGAGTTATGCAGGGCCCTTACCGAGTCCTCCTTTGACATGTATATACAATGTGAAGGTCTGAAGTGATTTTTGTTAAATACTATATTTTATCGCTTTTGTAGACATTTTGTTGTGGGAAGAAAAAAAAATAAAATAAATTTTATGGGTGCATTTCTGACTTGTTTTTCTTTCTCACACACATTGTTGAATTTAAAGATTGTTTTATATTAACAAAATATGAAATCACTTTACCCTTGGAAATGAATCAATCATGTATTAGTGTCTAAGCTATTACATTAATTATATCAATATATAAACATATTTATAGAAAAAATAGAAAAATAGTGATTTAGACTTTTGTAAAAACATGTTATAACTGTATTATGATTGATTAAATACAGCTGAATGATATAAACCCCTTTTTATAAGAACAATTCAAAGATCCCTCCTGACAGTTTTTGCTTAATATATTTAAATAATATATTAGATCCTAATTTAATATCATCTCTAGAATCCAGTCCCAGACTGCTCATGGTCCCTCTTCACTCTCGCTGTTTCCGCAGCAAAGAGATCAGGACTAACTCAGGCACACATTATGCAGGTCATAGATGTGTGTGTTCAGGCAGACGTGTTGCAGTACACACGTGTACATGTGTTGGTAAAAGTGCAAGTGTCTTTCTTTCCCTACTTCCTGGGTCAAAGGTTACATCCTAGTTTCATCGTCCTTTTGTTCTTCCCTCCGCGGCGTCGGCTCAGCCTCGCTGCTGTTCTCGCGGCCGTCCAAACACTTCCTTAAATCTGAACAACAGAAACATCAGTTAGCGACATGTCGCTGCGCTAACACAGCCATTACCACAAGAAAGAGAATGATGACAGGCCTGGGAGGAAGTCCACGCATCCAGCATGAATAATTTGGTTTGATTTGTTGGAGAAATCTTGGAGAGGACACAAGAAGAGGAAGAGGAAACGCAACGCACCTTTGAAATATCAAAACAACTGTGTCTGAATGTGTGTGTCTGTGTGTTTGTTTTCCGGGCTTGTTTGTTTTTGAGCACAGTTTCTTTCCGAGCAGTTATCCTCTAGATGCCGGTATCGTGCCTACCCAGAGACGTTAATTAATAGCTAATCAAAGCTAAAGTCTCAGCAGCACATCGCCAGCACAAAGACATGATTAATATGTAATCAAAGGCCGTGGAGCACAACGCACAAAGCAGGGCCCACCCCCATGCCTCAAACACTACTGTTGTTATAGAAATAAACGAACACTCGCGGCTTAATTAGCTGGCTGTTGGTGTCTTGTCTTCATTTGAAGTTGTCTGGGATTTATCTCAGAGCCAACTTGGCCTCCTGAGTGACGACACAGAGGTGACATACGAATACTTGCATATACAAACGTGCACAAGAAAAAAACACAATGAGATGAGAAATTCTATGTATACGCTGAGGAGTGCAAAACACATATTGGTTTACAAAAGAAAGCCTGCATTCTTCACATATTTGAACAATGAAAAAACACATTATTTGAGTGCTCTCTCACGCACACAGTAACATTGAACATATCTGACCTGCTAGGCCCAGTCTGCGGCAGCAGGCACCGCAAGAGTGTCTCTGCAGGAAACCGCTGATGGCAGCATCTCCGAGGTTATCTGGACCAAAAAGCATCTCACCCCTGCTTCCACTGTTAAGAGGTCAGAAAAAACGGTTTTAACCATTTTACCAATGTGACAAATTAGATTTGAATAAATAAAGGTGTCTGTCACTTATAACCTTGACATGCTGTACCTTTGATCATCCGACATAATGACTGTCGGGTCCGTCAGCTCCGCTCCTACTCCTGTCAAGGTAGAAATAAATAGGTAGGTAAGTGAATAAATAAATAGATAAATAAAGACAGACAGATACAAACTAAACAACCGACATGCGTATAATAGTTTGAATAATTCGCACTCTGCAGCTGATTCCCTTAAAGATCTTTTGAAATGGTTTCTCTAATCCGTGTTTTCTTTTGTGTGTCTGGTATGGATTTTATTGTATTTTTATTTTAATAAAAATTATACAGTGCTGATTTGTTACAGTTAACATCTGTATAGATGTGTATATGTGGTGTCTATAAGTGTGTCTCAGAGGGAGGGCTTTTATTTCAATTATAATGTTTATTATTGTGTATATATATATTTATTTTGTATTGCACTTTTTGTATTAAAAACAAGTTGCACATTTGGTTGCAGAATATGTCTCATAAATCTGCATTTGACAGCAAAATAAAAACCTGTATGAAGATAACAGGCCTTGCAGAAACACACACACACATCAAAGGAATCTACCCTGTATATCGAGCACCAGCAGCTCTCTGTTTGAGTACTCGTATGTCCAGTGTGAGAACGCCAGCAGCATTTCTTCCAGTGAACAGCAGGGGGTGATCTCCTCTCCTGTGGTGTTGTTGTTGTACTTCCTGAAGTCACCTGTCATGTTCCTCTCAATAGTCAGCCACTGGCCATTCGATTGCCAGAGGACCAACGCTACATCTAGGAATCTGATGGTGAGAAAAAGCGATTAGTTCAAGCACAGATCAACACGTACACATAAAGGAGAGAAAACGCACCTTGGTGAGTGGTGCATGTCATCAGGTTTGACCTCGTTGAACTCTTGCATCATCTTCTGGGCTGCTCTCTGCTGCTGGATCTCCTTCAGGGATGTCAAACAGAGGTTGATCATGAAGTTGATGTGATAGAAAGCTATATGTCCCTCAACCCTCCCTTAGTTTACTTACTTAGTTATTGCTTAATGCCTGGAAGCTTGTGGGATCAAGTTGATGTTATTTGATCCCAAAAACACTCAAGGATTTAGACAAGATAGCCTAATGTTGCTGTTTGAGATAACTTCACACTGCACCAAATACATAAAAGGTCTGTCCTTTGGCTTTTATTAGGTTTGGTTTCTTGGAAAAAACTGTTAAATTCCCAAAAACTAGACTCTTCTATGGGATACTCCTTTGATAACGAATGTAATAACGAACACAATCTTGTTTTCCCTTCATTCACTTAGCCTCCCCTGAAACAATTTGAAGCCCCCTGAGGAGGCAATTCTCCCACAATGCAAACCTCTCCTTTAGGGGTTTTTTAAATTGTGAATCTGCAACTTAATAGGAGCAATTTTGCTGATTGGCGATGCCGTCGGCTACTAAAAAGGTCATAAAGTATTCATTGATTCCCTGCCTATGTGCACTTTACTTTTGTAGGTACACTTACCCTTAAACAAAGCAGCAGTGCTGTGCTACCATGGAATATCCTCTGCCAGGCACGAACCACCTCCGGCCTGAAGGCTTTGACCACGTATACCAGGCCGGGTCTGAGCACGTCACGTTCAGCCCAGGTGCACAGCACCCTGCAGCCCTGCCGGAGACCCCCGTCCAGAGAGCCCTCTTCACTGGAAAGGGGCTGCAGCAGGGCGGACAGGCCATGTGACGACCAGGACGAGACTGTGCCGGCATCAGGGTCAGCATCAGAGGGAACTTCCTCCAGAGAGTACACGCTCACCTCTTCAACTCCTGCAGAGAATATAAAAGAAACAGTGAATGGAAAGAGATGCCGTCAAGAGACATAAACAAAACACTGTGTCACCAAACAAAACACTTACCTAGAATAGAGACAGGAGTGAAGGGAATGGTGTGAGCCAGTCTCATCAGATTGTTTCTCTCCATAGCTGTCAACACACGAACAAAACATGGTCAAAACCACACCTGAGATCAAATACCTGTATAATTATTAATGAAATCTGAGACAAACAAATGTTTAAATAATAGGCTTTTAAGATTTAGAGTTCCACAAAATGTTGATAGCCACAATTAAACATACTTATTTTCTGTGTGGCATAATACCTGCATAGTGTGGATACAAATTGTCAGTGGACTGGAATGAGGAGCTCTTTGCTGCAGAAAACAAAACAAAAAAGGGAAATTAAAATACAAAAAAAGGGTCTCACAATAACAAAAAAGTGTCTATTTATAGACATAGTCAATAGGATTGTATACAATCTTTATGTTTGCAAATACCTTCAAGGGCAATCACGCTCTGTAAACTGTAACAAAGGAATAGAGAAAAAACATTTGATGTAGTTAATAAAATCTCATGAGTTTTGATGTGCATGTTTCGGAGAGTAAAAAACAAAAGGAAGACTTACGAAGACCTGTGGCTCATGGATCTGGCCCAGCTGTTCCATGCTGAATGGGTCGAGCTCCATGCATCCTGAAGGCCAAAGAAAACATCATAAACCCGATCTCATGACATTATACAATATATTTTCCTAATATCACAGTATGTTGCCACAATGAGCCACGGATTTACCTGATGGGAAAAGACTTGCTTCTGCAACAAATCCATTGGTTCAAAATCTGAAACGATATTGATATGTTCAATATCTAACAAGGTGAGTAACTTATACATTGGGCCTTTTATCGTGGTACTGTTTTCCATGCCTCTTTATTTGAGCGCTGGATTGAATACATGATACATTCAGAGAGGCCTTGGTTTGGTAAACCAACAGGCTTTACTCATCTTCACATTCAGGTTCAATGGTATGACCTATGCTTAAAGTATTGCTATACTTTAAATGTGCTATTTAAATAAATGTGCTATATAACTAAATAAAGATGACTTATTACTAATATGTGACAGCAGTGACTTACTGAGCTGATTGAGGCTGGTTGAAGCCAACCAACATGTAGATTCTCCTCGAAATCTTCGGCCCCTTCTCCAGCAGGACCCAGACAAATGGGACTGCATGGTTAGCCATTTTTCCCAAGAAATAAAGAGTCAAGAGATTATAAAACAAAAACATTAGCAGGGTTTGATGATCTATGTAACATGTTGTGTATTACTGAGCTGTCATGAACGGATTGTTGTGAATTTCTGACCGTGTTTGGAGCGCTCTCTTGTATCTTCACTGTCTTCTTGTTCTGGTTTTTGCCTCTGCAGTCTTGAGGGAAGTCAGATGACTTGGACCACTCTGCAAAAATGATATCACAAATCCAATTCAGTAGAAATAAAGCACACCCAGATTTGTTATCAGTATAATGTTTGTATTTGTTTATATGCAAGGGCCCTGTCTATAATAATGGAAAGTCCAACAAGTTTTGTAACAAACCGATTTGGACTTTACAAACCAGCTAATGGTGAAGATTTATGAGTCATGTCTTATTCTTTTGTTTCAAACCGTCCACTTGAACAATTAGAAACTTGCATTACAAACGACGTTACCTCTGCTCATGCTGCTTCGTAGCGATGTGTCATCACTAAAACTCCTCCCATCAGACAGACTCTCTTTGCTGATTGGTTCGTCTAGAGAAGGGAATGACCCCCTCCTTTGACTCTGAGGTGCGCCTGAGAAAGTCATGTTCTCCACGCTGGAGGACAGAGACCTGCAGTATCCGTAGGGACGGTCTCTGGACAGACACGCCCACCTGGAAGATTTCACAGGTCGGCCCCACTGGCTGTAAAGTCTGGGCCGAGAACTCGGTTGGCTAACGTCCTGAGAAAAGGCGGGATTCACCAAACCCTCACAGACTTCTCGTGGGTCAGACAGAAGGACAGCGTTGCTAGATCCACGGGATACTTCTATATTAGAGAGTTGTTCATGTGTCCTTTCCTCCTCTCCTTCTCCCTCTTCTTCCTCCTCTTCCACGTAAGGTTCTTCTTGACTGCGATACAGGTATGGGTCACATGTCGAGAGTTTATGATGCGGTGACTCCAGGCCTATGGGAGCAAGAGGAGACCCGCAGTGGGGCGGTCCGATTGACTCACAGGGGGTCTGATCCCTCAATCTACCCAGATTAACTCCGTCTCCGTAGAGGTGAGAGAAGGAAGAACGAGACGCAGGTTTAGAAACTCCCAGGTCGTTCTCAGGCGGACGTTGAGCAGGAGCAATCTGTGGATCCTGAGGGAAAACAGACGGTAAATAATAATTCTCACAAAAATGTAAATGTTATAATAATTACTCCTGTGAAACCTTGTTTTTTTAATTCATCAGTGAACTAATCATTCAACAACAGAGAAAAATCTTGATGAATTGAAGTAAATGGGGGGGGGGCGCTTCTAACAGCAAAACCTAAATTATCTCCTAAATTCAAGGTAACACAGGGTGAGTAATTTATTGACAAATGGTCATTTTGTAGATGAAGTATATTTTTAAACAAAATGTTTCAATATATTAATGATGTGATTGATTTGTTTTTATAAAGTGTACTGCTAGGTTTGAAATCCACGTTCGTTGTTTACTTTCACTTCCTACATGAGCTTGCACACCGTAAGTACCTGCTTTGCTTCTTCCTCTCCCTTCTCAGTGTGTCCTTGTTTTCCTCCCCTGCTCTCCTGGGATGCCAGTCTACTCGCCACAAGGCCATGGCCCTTCAGCAAAGAAGGCGGGGTACTTTTACACAACTTGGGCATCACTCGACACATATTAAGTGCATCACAGTCTGCTCCACCTCTGTGTGGGAGAGTCAAGCTGTGAGGGAGGATAAGCGGGGACGATGTGATGACTCGACATTGAGCCAGGCGGGCCTCCTGGTGTAGGCTGTCAGATGCAGAGAGCAGAGTGAGGGTGTCCACAGCCAGAGCAGAAAGGTCCTGGAGCTGACCCAGCTGAGAGTCCAGCTCCGACAGGCTATCATGAATGAAGATGACCTTCTCCGAGACCTCCCCCACCATCAGGCACATCTCCTCAGCTCTAGTAGAACAAATAAAGATATTATTTTATAATAAGTGTGAGAGATTGAGTCGTCAAACAAACATTTACTAAATAGTAGGGATGTAACGATACCAAAAACTCACGGCACGATATTTATCGCAATATTGAAAAATAAAGAAAAAAAATGTGAATTTTTTTTACTTTAATTTGTTTTTCTTTATTAAATAATAAATAGATTTGTACAGCATTTTAGTAGGATAGTAGTATTTTAAAGTGTCAACAATATAATAATCAGACCCTGCAATAGAATAAATCAAGTTTCACTTTAGTTTTTCAAGTAACTCAACTCTAACTCACTCACTCAGCATCATCAAGGTTATCTTTTAGGAATATGAGCATGTCCACATTTCCAGGTAGAAGCTGGGATGTTTGGGCGTTTACAATATCCCCTGCTGTGGAAACAACTCTCTTGCTTGGTACTGATGTTGCTGGGACAGAGAGATATGCTTTGGCCATGGGTGACAGCAGTGGGTAAAACTGTGCATTGTCTCTCCACCACTTCAAAAACAATACAGTTTTTGCCAAGAAGGTGAGGCTTATTGACAGGGCGAGATATACATATACTGTTGGTACTTGTCAATGTCTCTAGGTATGTACATGTAGCCCTGTAAATACTATGTCCTTTTGTGTTATCTGTTGTTTTATGTTCATGTTGTAACCTACTTGCTGCCATGTTGGACAGGTCTCCCTTGAAAAAGAGATCGATGATCTCAATGGGACCATCTGGTTGAATAAAGGTTTTTTTTTTAAAAATACTAATAATTTTTTTTAAATCGCGGTAGATTTTGTCAGTCTCACGACGGTATTGAGACATTTATTTACCGCGATATCGCGATATTCGATATATCGTTAAATCCCTACAAAATAGTGAAGCCTGCATCAGTAGAACATACATTATATTCTTTCTACAATATGGTACAATGCAAAAACAATTTATATCAACTATTTACTAACTTTAATATAGAAACTATTACAACCAATATCCTCCTGGTTTATACAAATGAAATGGTTTATCAATCACACCTCTCAGCTGTGGCTCTGATCCTGTTAATTTGACTGCTGTGGAGACATTCACTCTTCTCATGGAAGTGAGCCGTTATACATTTCTCCTCAAACTCATGGAGCTTCTTACGATCCTCGTCGCCCAGGGAGAGCTCTGGTAAAGACAGGAGGAGGGATTACAATCTCACACTGAACTGAACCGACTCTAACTCTTTATTTTCACACACATACACACTCCAGTACTCACTCAGTCCAGAGCCACTTTCCTCTCGTTCAGGGTCTCCTCTCAATTTCCTGTAGATGGCTCTCAAACCTGAGGTCATGTGACTGAGGAGGATAAGAGGTGGAGGCAGCCACGGCCTGTCCTGATAGGTCATTATGTAGCGATAACGGTTGTACTTCCACAGCTTATTGGACGTTGATGCCATGTCAAAGTAGATGTTGCTGTTATTGAGCAGACAACATTCATTTAAACAAAAGTCCTCTTTATCGGGAGTCTTGCACTGTATTTTTTCAAAATAATTATAACTTACTTAAAAAATGCAACGAGAATGTTGACCATGATGATGTACTGGAAGAACATATAGACCGCCTGAAGGAACGCCGTGAGAAAGGAAGCAGGAGGACACGGAAGACCGTCATCACAAGCTGTTAACACAAAAATTCAAACACACACTTTACCCCATTAACAATCAATACCAAGAGGAACAGTGGGAATACATTATAAAATGTCAAGGGTCTTTTACATCGTCTAATTAAGAGATAGTGAGAAATCATTAACGAATGTCACAGATACTTGCCTGAATGACATTTCTTAAAAAGGAACTAGGAATTTCCCCCAAAAAGTCTACTCATATATGTAATGATCCCTTTCAAACATCAACCTGTATTTTGCTGTGTGTGATGTTTCCTCTTTAAAACCCTGGGAATATGGGTTTGGCTGGTGAGCACCAACCAGCGCCAACTTTAAGTGACCAATTATATTCAATTTGCCTTAAATATATCATTCAAATGTGTTTATGCAAGCTGCGAAATGGTATAATAGGTAAGACGGACACTAAGTAGAAATGTGCTACTTAAATAGAAAACAAATTCATTTGATTTACTTTGATTTAACACAGTTTTATGTCACTTTATCTGTCTCTTCATGTTGCAAAGGACAAGTGGCAAGTTAACACTGCAGTAATCTGACATCAAGCGACTCCCTCAAGAAACTCTAATTCTACTGCTTTAAATCAACACCAGTGGATAAGTATCTATTGTTTTTCATTGATGACCTACGATCTATCTCCGATGCGTAGACCTCTCCGAAGATCATAAAGTAGGGCTGGAAGACGACGTCTCGAGCGAGGCTCCAGGACGGCTCCTCATTTGGCGACAGGATGGCCTTCCTGGACACCCCGAAGCTCAGCAGCACTATCACCATCATCACCACTATGAAGAACATGTTTCTGGTCTGAGCAGACAGAGAGAAAGAGGAGGGGGGGGTGACTAAACACAAAAACACACAACACACTTACTTCCTCTTCAACAAGCAGTGTACTGTCTCTGCCTACCATCTTAGTGATCATGGTGAGGTAAGGCCCAGCATGCTGGTTGACAGCCAACAGGTCCGTCACCCTGATGAACCAGAAGATGATGTCCAGACAGTAACTGATGCGTCCTGCCGTCCGGTACGGATTAGCATGCCAACGCAGCACCAATCCAGCCATGAAGAGGAGGATGCCAATAAAATCTGATATGTTCCAGTACTCAGAGAACCAGACCTTCAGCTTCTGGCTCAGCTTCCTCGGCTCCGACATTAGGACCTAAGCAAGGAGTATATATTTGAATATTCTTTTGTTATTAAGTATTATCAGTCACTCAATCAAATTGTATTTATATAGCCTGTTGTCCGAAATAACAAGGGGGGGCTTTACAGTTTGTACAGAATACTACACCCTCACATCGGACAAGGAAAACTCCCAAAGAAACCCCACCATGACTAATGGTGGAAAAACCTTACAAAACTCGGGGAGAGCAACAGAGGAGGGATCCCTCTCCTAGGACAGACAGCCCTGCAGTAGGTGTCATGTGTTTATTAGTTTGTGTCAATCTTTTTCAGAAAAATTGCTGGGGAGCATTTCATCCCAATGCATGAGTATACATATATATATATATATATATATATATATATATGAGAATACGCTCTCTTCTCATTAGGAACAATTGAAAAAGATGCTGGTGCTCAGAAAGAAAACACGCTATAATAAACTATAATTTTATTTTTATTTTATTTCTCTGTCAAACAAAGCATTGTATAAGGGATAACTTGAATACTATTTTGTCTGCAATATGATCATTTTATCGTAATTCCCTGTGTAGGAAATGCATTACAAATGTATACATCATGCCCCCAAATAGTTACATTATTACAAAGTTAAGATGAGAAAATTAGAAGAGAACATGTCTCTCTTCGGACTGCCTCACCTCTCTGGTTTTCTCCACTGCAGTGGACAAGATGTACGCTATGACCAGCCACTCCTGAACACTGGGCTGATCCCCCATCTTCACCAGGACCACGTAGGAAAATAACATCAGGAAGGTCAAGTAGGACATCTAAAGAAAGATCAGAGACAGGAAGCGAAAAATAAATCAATATGGGCAGATTAAAAAATAAACACTAGATACCACACATGCTGCATCAAAAACACATATGCATACCACCTACTGTGTGAAACCAGAACTTGACAACAGGAGCCGTGTAGAACGCATAGAGTCTTTTGATCCAGGACAGACAGTGCACAGTGATAGAGGAGAACGTTTCTGACACAGGACCCAAACATTTTTTATGGAACGGCAGGCCCCGCTCTGCATCCTGAGCTTCCTGTGAGAGGGGAGGAGGAAAGAAAGTACAATACTAAGGCTATTAGAATTATGGTGCAAGTTAAAACAAAAACAGTGCTGGATAAGTGCACTTCTGGAGCTTTACCGTGACATCAGCTCCCTCATGGGCTGGTGCTGACTTCACAGACTCAAGCCCGAACGGCATTTCCTCATGGGACTGTGGTACGTGGCACATTTCAGCTTTGCTTTTGAACTCCAGTAGCAAGATGGCAGGCGGCAGAAGAAGACTCAGAATTATCTGAAGAAATAGAAAACAGGTGTGTCATGTAAGTTTGTGTAACTATACAGAAACACTAGGAAAACAAGAAAACAAATCGCAATGTAGGAATAACGTTGTAATTTATGGGGACCTATCATGCAAAATGCACTTTTGTATGTCTTTTATACATGAATATGTGTCCCCGGTGTGTCAGGGAACTCACCAAGTGTCAGAAAACACAACCCTCTCTTTTCCTCCATACCCAAATCTCTAAAAATGGGGCTGCAACGGATCTGATTATTATTTGAATTGTTCTGACGTCAGAAAAGGGGTGCTCCGCCTATATGGGCAACTCTCCACCTATCAGGGGAATGAGAGACCGCTCGAAAGCGCTGGAGACGCTGTAGTACATATGCCAGGCCTGTAAGTGGCGCTGTAGTCTGCCACAAAAGCAGAATCAGCCCCTGCAAAAACAGGGCTGGAAAAGAGCAAATAGAGCTAAATGAGGCATGGCTAAAATGCATGACCAGTCTGCCTATCTGTCAGCAAATTACATAAAAACTACTGGCAAGATGTTTATGGAACTAGGCAGAAGGGTGAAGCATGGACTGAGTAAGAACCCTTGACATTTAGGAAAGGATCTGAATCACAGGGTTTTAACAAACTGAGTTTCACTTCTGTTAACTTTGAGAGAAAGGGCATTTGTGCTGCATTTCAATTATTGGGGAATGTAGTTTCTTACTGGGAAAAATGTATCTGAATGCCCGCTCAATTTGATACATTGATTTTGTTTCCAAATGTCCAAGCTCATAAATACACAGAAAAACAACTTCCAAACTCAGGGAAACAGGGCCATCCAAGAAGCACATGAATGCAGCATTTGCCTTTGTTGGAGGACTGCGCTCTCCAAAAACCATTCTATTAATTAAGTATTAATTTGTCTTTTACTGTGATACAAATACATCATACACTAAGACAAGGATGAAATCTGTCAACTCTATGTACCTTCACAAAGGAGTTTTTCCTCATGTTGAGCGGACCGGTCCAGAGGTCTGTGAGCAGCGTCTGAGTGCAGGAGTGTGAGACGAATGGTCTGTGACATGAGGAGACAGCCATCTGCAGACAGGTGAAGTGGCTCCATGCCTCCATCTCTGAAGTCAACAGCTTCATGGCCATCTGCTCGTTCTGACGAAACGCACAGTCTAACATGTCCACCGCCAGCTGACCAAACTCGCTAAGACACAGAGACAGGAGGCACATGCGCATCATGTACAGGTTTTTATACAAACAATGGCATTATGTGCATAATATTAAAAAACTATTATATTTATAATCATCAGAAGAATAGCCCGCCAATACCACTGGAAAATTCAAGACGCAAGAACTTGAAGGGTCTTTAAATGCACAGAATCACACTACACAATAAAATACTGAGAAAAGGTGAAAATTATTGATTGGGTTTTTTTTGTTATCATGTTAAGACATATCTTTATTTGGTTGCAATTGTCCCCATAGATTGTCTACTGACACAGACAGAAAAACCCACACTGACTCACAGAGAGTATTTCTTAAATCGCTCTGAGATGTTGTCGTCCATACTTCCCTGCCTCGCCTCAAAGCCCATGGAGCGGTAGAGCTTACAGGCCACTGTAGCGCGGGCCAGAGCTTCCTCTCCGTGCTGCCACAGGAACAACGCCATCTGCTGGCGCTGATGAAACACAGCCCATACGAACACGTCGTTGAAGTTGAAGGCTATCAGCAGTGGAGCATTAACAAGGCCCGGGATCGGGGTGACCTCTCCCTCTCGACTGTCCCCCGTTGAAAAATCCTGCTCCTACATGGAAAAGTGTGAGGTATCCACAAATCAATACATAAGGGGATGTGAAAAAGAAGGAGAAATGTTGTAGGGAAATAAAAAAGAGTAAAGAGAGTGAGACAGAAAGGCAAAAAAATGTATGATGTAACATAAGGCCGCATTAGATAACCAAAAGGTGCTTACTAGAAACAATATGATGGCTTAACAAACAATGAATTATACAGGTCCAGAGAATTACTCCAATAACATTACAGCCTTGTGGCCTAAGAGAATCTGTAAACGTGCATAACATCCATGCCTGTCAAAAATATCATGGAGATACGTTTTTATAAAATGTGACATTTGTGTAAAGTTGTCTTAATTAGCATGTTAGTGATTGATTTGGCCATGTTTTTGAGGTCCCAGTGACATTGACCTTTGGCCATCAATTCAATTCCTCCATGATATTCCCCACCAACCTTGAGTTTGTATGGCTGAGCTGTTCTGAAAAAGTGCAGGTCCTGGACGGTCCTGCCCTTTGTAGAGATCTGTGGTATTCCCCGTCTCTGTCTAGAAAGGGAACAGCCCTGTCTGCCCTCCTATACACAAACATAGAAACAACAATGAGGAGATTTGTACAAAAGGTCAATCGCAATTAATAATCCCAAGACAAGAACCAAGTCAAAGCATTTTTTTAAAAAGAGCTCTATTAATCAGGGCTCACTTTATCCTGCAGGCGGCTATAGGCAGCTCTGAAGTGTTTGCGTGTGTAGGTGCTGCGGTATGCTCCTCCTATTAGGTACTCGATCACCAGGCCCATGTCAATGAGAGAGAGACGGTAACCTATGGGAAGAGAAGTCTACACACACACACACACACACACACACACATACACACACACACACACACACACACACACACACAACACACACACACACACACACACACACACACACAGAGATGAGGTTAAAGGCATAATGTAGATATGGTTGCTATGGTAAATTTAGAAATAAATAATAACATAAATGCAGCTGATATTGGTGCAATGGCTGACAATGTCTGAGTAAACAGTGCTTTCTTTATTTTAATATTTATATGATTTAATACGTTCTGATTACTCACCTGTTTGGCATCTTCAACAAGGTGATTTAAGAAACAGTTGGTCTGCCCCTGTGGCTGCGGAAAAAAACGACTATTATTATTCAGGAGAAACAAACAAATAAACGGAAAATATCAACAACTAGAGATCTACTGGTTACTTGTTAACACCGTTGCATATTGCATACACAGAAGCAGTCCTGGGATCCTTATCTTGTTTCTTAAGGGGGACTTATTATCCCAGAGTTATGAATAAATAAACAGGCTTTAATACACAAAAGAGAAAGGCAGTGCGGAGAAAGCCAAGACTGAGTGTAATGATGACAAAAAGCCTTGTGATCTCAAATGCATCCCAGAACAACAACTGGGAAAGTACCCTGAGTGCAGTTGACCAGGGTACGCAGAGAATACTTCTTCAAAACACTTACAAAGTATTATTGTGATTTCAATCACAGCGACAGTTATGGTATTTTTGCTTCAAGAGTCACAAATAAAATAACTGCATTTCTTGTTTGTGAAGCAAAGTGCGAGCTAAGGGAAAACATCCAGTAAATAAAATGACAAGACAAACAAAAGTACCATGGGGTGAAAGTGTATTCTAAAACAAATACTGTTCATTCTTTTGATTTCAGTAAATGTTGTTTAACTTTACATTTCCACTGAGATATGTAAATAAAACATTGTGACAATAATGGAGAGTCGAGTAGAAAACAAATATCAGAAACCGAATTCAGTATATTGGCAAGTAGGCCTTTACATCTAGTCATTTTCTTTGGTGTAAATATATAGATATTATAATAACCATGTTATAGAGCTCCTCGAGGCGATCCACGGTAAGGAAGCGGCTCATAGTCATGCCGTTGTCAATCAACAGTTTGACAAAACTGACCCGGTCCATCACCAGAGCATCCAGCATGGCCTGCTCCAAGGAACCCACCTAAATCCAGCATACAGTTATTAGATTTAAAATACGAAGATGATATAATATTATAAAAGCACAGATACATTAGTGATTCGCAGAGCCAGTCTTACCGGCCAATGCTGTCCGTACACCAGAACTGCCTTCTGTGCGACGTCAGCCCGGTCCCAGGCCAGAGCCATGCTCAGCTGCTCTGCAGGGCTGGCCTTGGTGCCTGTCCATCACGCCGAACAAAAACAATACAACAGAACGCATATCTGTTAAAATATTGTGCATATCACCTGATTGCACTTATACTCATGTTACTGTAAGCATATGTTATTAAGTAATGGACAGACCATGTATTTCTAGTTTCTATATATGTTTTGAGTAAGGGGCAAGAAACAAAAGATGTATCCTCTCCCTGCTCCTTTTTTGGTTATGGAATGTGTAAATGGAGTTTCAGTTTTGAATTGTGAATTGCTGTATTTCTCCTTTTTTTCCCTTGAGTTTTTTTTTATGAGCCAAATATATTTCACGAAAACATCAAATGAAATAAAATATCGCTGCATACTTACACTAACTAACTTTCTCAACGCTGACCTTTTTATTTGACAAAAATCCCAGGTCTAACATAATGATTGTAGTTCGATTCAAGCGCATCATACAGTCTAATGGGCGATTCGGCCTGCAAATTAACAGACCTTGTACAAGTAAACCTATAAAGAATGCTTTGATTGTTTATGTTTTCATTACACCTTTGGTTTTCCATCTATAACATGTCAAATGTATGTGGTGAAAATGTCTATTGTCACAATAAAAAGGAGAAATATAAGTACCCTTGAGACTGGTTGTCAAAATGGCAGCATCGGCTGGAGCATGGTCGTCTGACTCTGAGTCAAAGATGGTTATCTGTTTTTTAAAGACAACAAAATATTGAGTTAATGGGAGTAGTGCATGTGTGAATCACAATATTTGACTTTTTGTATGTTACACTTACAGACTGTCTGTGATCCATACACTGCAGGAGGAGAGTGTAGAGCTGAGAGGCTTCTGCCATCTCGACTCCAAACACGTCTCCAATCCTCAAAAGGAAGTTCTCTTTGATGTCAGCATCCAACTGCCTGATAAATGCAGTAAAAGTTATATTTGTGACATGTCTACTCAATTATCCTTCTCACTCACTTGAGACATTTTGGGACAGCAATGTCCCAATTGAAACATATTTATCTGCTATCTAGACACTCTCATACTTCAGACATTTTTGAAACGCGTCTGAATGTTGTTGCCACCTATTGACATATTCAGGACTGTAATAAAAAACAATAATGAAAAAAATGAAAATTCCCCCTAGCATTTGGCATACAGAAATATATATCTATATCTATTTTTGGCATTTTGTACACAAACTGGCATTGACATCATTAACATTATTAAAATGAATGAATATCTGGGTGCAAAAAGTCGATTAAATAACTAACTGACATTTTGGTCCTCTCAAGACATCGTAGCAGCTTTTTTTTAAACACTCACCTAGGTTAAACAGCGGCTACGTAGAAACATTATCAAAGTCAACATTAATGTTACACTTTTAGGTAGATCCATTAGACATACTAACTGTAGATTTAGTGATCAAAGCATGCATACCTGTCATTAGCAGTCTGCTTGTGCAAAAAGGCGAGAAGGTCAGCTGCCCTGCCCGACCCCTCAAACACAAACACTGGCACAGGGGGGACATTGCTAACATAGTCCAACACTGTGGACACAATGGCAGGGCCTCCTTCCACCACCACACACACCACAGGCACCCCTTGGTTCAGCCCTACAAAGAAGATGGAGGAGAGGGTGAGATAACATCAGTCACATCAAAGCTTTTCTTTCTTTACATGTACATTACACACACTGACTCACGAGGGTGTATCTTCTGTAGTTGTATGTGTCTCTCCAGCTTCCTCCTGAGGCCTTGATGGCAGCCATGTTTTCCCAGCGTCCCATCGTCCACCAACAGAAAGTGGGAGTGGAACCCATTAAGACAGGCTCTCTTGCTCAACGGGTTTCCCAGGGGCTGGTAGGGCCTGAATACCTAAACCGTGTCGAGAGAAAGTCACATCCAGAGCCCACCAGGAGTCAATCATAGTGACACAAAGCACTGGGATACGTTACAAATATTGACACATGTTGTTGATAAAGAGATAATAATAATAATAATAATAATTCATTTATTTTATATAGGCGCCTTTCAAGGCTCTCAAGGTCGCCGTACAAACACATAAAAAAACAAGATACACAATACCTAACACCAGCATAAGAAACATAAACAAGACAATGCAACAAATCAAATAAATAAAACAGAGGATGTGTGATGGATAATGATCAGGGTGGTACGTATTTAGTTCTCACATCTTTGCCTAAAAGGTCTGAGTTGTTGTGAATGACTCCCCATGGTGTGATGCCGACTGTGTTTCTCTTCCTCAGGTTGTGGCCCCCAAATGTTTTCACAGCCTCGCCCACATACTTGGACACACCTGTGCAAAGAGCAGCTGAATGAACAGTACATACACAATTCCACGGTATAAACCAGGAAAAGCATTATTCAAACCATTTTGCTGCTGCTTAACATTCATGTTTCTAAATATGCAACTGCAAACACATGGACAAAACACACATCTACACCCCACAGTTCAGACCCAGGGACATTGAAAATGAATGGACTGAAATCCTTACAAATGAAGAGACCTGAGTTTACACAGGCCAAGAGAATGATCAGGAATTACACTCACAACAGCAGTGTACAGAAAGGTGCATGCAGTTCAAAATTGAACCCTTTGCAAACATTATACAGGCATGATGCAACATGGGGCTTTTTAACCGTTTCACACCAGACCCAACACTGATAAGATGATACTTGTTATGATATTAAAGGGATAGTTATTGTTTAAAGTGCAGTCGTAGAAAATACGTATCCATTCTCAGTGTATGACCTACAGAAGATGGTTGCTGTCAGGGCCCCCAGTTTTGTAGAAGCAGACCAGAGTTATAGCACAGAAGCTATGTGGACAAGGGCAGTAGCAAATGTAATTTGTCCACCTTTAAGAAACACCCACCTCGAACAATTCAAATCATTTTGTACCTCATACAACTCACTTCAAACTATCCATCTACCCCTTTAAACTGCCATGCTTGTGAGTGCATATTTGATAACAGTGCAAGTTCTAGTTGTGTTCATAGTGATACAGGATATCCCACACACAGATCTTACAACCATCTTTAACACCTACCTGTGTTAATGCCATCAGTGAGTATCCATGCCCCGGTGCTGATTGCAGCGGTGATCAGCCCTTTGCTGAAGGCCTGCTTGACTTTAAGAGGCAGGGTGAAGTTTTCTGACCCCCCCTGCACAGTCAGGAGCAGCTTGGGTCTCTCCATCTGCCACTCCCTCAGCATCAGCTGCAGCAACACCTCTGGCTTGGAGTCCACAGCCACACGGACATACTGCACAGGAAACATTTTAAACTTTTCTTCGTCTTTTCTCAAGTGCTGCTAGTGTGACTGTTTTGTGTAGTAGATACTATCTTAGATCATAGCAAGCCAAAGCTTGTTTATACAACAAACATAAGCCAATTGTGTGTATATACAGTCTCTAAAAGCATTGACCTTCACTTTTGTAGTATTCTCTTATAGATAAAGGGAGTTAAGTTATATAAATGTGGTGTCGTAATTGGGGAAAGAATCTTTTTTTCTTTGCCCTAGAAAACCATGTTGTGTACAGTTATTAGACGCACAGACCTTGGCCCTGCAGACACGTGTGGCAGTGTCCTGGAAGTCTACGGTCCCATAGGCATTGGTGGGACTGGCTTTGGTGTGTTGCTCCATGGACCAGTCCTCTACCAGGTCCTGTCCTGGCCCAGGATAGAGGGATATGGGGGGAAGGGACTCTCGCCAAGAGTGCTCTCCCATCAGGCGGCCACAACAACATCTGGCCAATGACAGATTGTGTAATTAAGCATAGCGGGCGGTGGAGGAATTCAGAGTCATTTCTACTGTTCTGTCTACACAACATTCCCTCATTTTAACTATCAAAAGCAGGTACTTGCTTGTAAAGCACCCCAAATTAAAAAGATATGGTTGGTCAAATTCACAGACACCTGACAATCATGCACCTGGCCTATTTAAGCCCGGCTGCATTTATTCCTCCCCCTTTCCTTTATATGGTATGGAAACACAATAAAATACCTTACTACTTCCCTTGAGCCAACACTAAGTTGTATTCTAAGTATGTGATGTCATTCAAACTAAGACATGTAAGAATAATAGAGGAAAAAGGGGAAATTATCAAATAAAGGTTGTGGGAAAAAGAGACGCATTAATAGAAAACAGCTTCATTGGAAAAGGGGGTGGGGCAGAGGAGGGAAATGCAGTGGGTTTTCGGTTTGGTATGAGCACACACATAAACACAGAATTATTTGATTATACCTGATCAAGTTTTGGCATACTTGACATACGGGAATACATCTGTAAGAAACAGGAAATAACACATTATCAAAGAATCCACATGGTCTCTATTCCTGGAAGTAAAAGGCTGGGTGCCAAATAGTTTTGCTCTCAAAAATGTGTTTCCAAGCACTGGCGTTAGTATCATACTATGTACTTACTACTTATTAACACAGATTTATTTCTTCTGAGAATCTTAAAAACTTTAAACACCTTCTTGGAAGATTATCAATGCAATCAGTTTACCTATGCAGGTCCCAAGATGAAGGGATAAACTTCACACACTCTCTCTTGAAGAAGGTCTCCTCAATCCAAGACTTTCGTGACTGGAATAAGAAGAGAAAGTATATTACTTACAGTACACAGATCCTGGAGCAGCTTATCTTATAACGGCAAACTCATCCTCCAGCAAGAAAAAAACACACTATTCCTGAACAACAATAACAATCGGTGACCTTCTCAGTGAAGCTCATTTCAGTGCCGGCAGCAGCCTACATGCCGGACCCACAGGGAACTAACTGCAGGTCCCTCCCCTCCCGACATAGAAACCCGAACTGCACTCTTGAAAACACTGACGGGATGTGACAATCAACCTCTCATTCAATTTCACAGCAGTCTTTGCTTCATGCTACGCTTGGTCTCTCAAGATCTGTGCTGCCCCTGTAGTCCGTTTCCCAGACATGTTTAACAATGGCCTTACTGACTAGAGAATTGTTGGTAGGAAACATACACACATCCCCTTCCTGAGATTAGTACACATTGCCGGAAGATGTGTGCAGCCTCCCTGGGTCGACTGTGTAAACACTAAACAGGGGCCTGACGTGTAGCCTCTTTAACTCGCATTGTTGTTCAAATAAGTATTATTCTTAAGAGACAATAAACTAGTTTACCATGTGCATAAATCAACTTAAGCAAGATTGTGTGCTCTGTACGGGAACGTATCCATATAGTTAGTTATGTAATATTCTTTATACAAAAACAAGATGTATCTCTTGGCTTGATGCTTTGATTGCACAAAACTTATAATCATAAAACCTTATGCTATGAAATGATTTATAATGAATAGGCAAATAATGTTCCGAGCTAAAACTAAATTACTGTCACAGTGTGTACAAAGGGGCGTTTCAGTATATGTATGCAAAGGTGTGTTTGTAAGTGTACTGTACAAAAAGCTAAAGAGACATATGAATAAATAAATATATAGAAAGGAAAGGAAGTAAAGGAGATGTTTTTTTTCTATTGTTGGGCTTATATTACCAAATATTGCTGATATACATTTAGGAATGAGTAACTCACTTATGGTTATCAGAAGAATGGTTAATAGAGCTGTTTAATGGTTTTATTTTCTATGTGTTATCATTTATAGAGGAAGCTTAAATGGGTAGGAATGTAGGGTATGTAGGATTTGCCTTTGCCTTATTAGTACACTAAATTAGAATGTGAGTGATGCCTGAATAAAGATACTACTCCTTATACTAGATATCTATGGCCATACAGTTGTTAATATTAAAGTGTTAACATAATAAAAGAGGTCGCCAAACGTGAGACAGCATAAACCTTAAGTAATACTTTTTTAATGAACAATACTAACACAATTGTCATAAGAAACATCATTACAACTCTGTTAACTAACTTTTAATTACTTTTTGTTGTTGTTATGCCATAGCCTACCATGCAGACATTATTATCTGTTAGTAACTGGCCACATCAAATGGCAAATTTACATAAACGCATAATATTTTTGCTCTGAAATGTTCTTGAACTATATAGTTTCACAGAATCTAAATACATTTAAGTATAATTAGCCTAGCTTAACTTTTACTACGTTAATGTCAATCTCCTATTAAAGGTATTTACTGAATTATATAGCTTTACATGTAAACCTACGCTGTAGAAATAAATTATCTAAAGTTTATGCTGGAGACAAAAAAGCAAACTGGTTTTACAAACCTACATGACATTAAGTTCCTTAAAATCACATTGGACCGTTGCTAACATGCTATTTGCTAACGCCAGTGACTAATATTAAGCGTTTAATAAATAGTTTTATAACTGTCATAAATAACAATAGCTGAGCTGTTTTTCCACTTTAAACAAGCTGGCATCTTCAGTGGATATAAGTTAAAGTTATAACTTACCATCGCTGTACACAGTGGGAAACGCGTCTCATGTATGAGTGTATCTTCAAATCCCACCACTTTATTATTATTTCCCTGACAATGACTGAGTGGCCTTTTATCAGCCGCGGCCGCGGGTCCAAAGGGCATGGAGAGCCTGTCTAAGGAGTTCATGACCTCCTCCTTCAAACACATGCAGGACTCCTTCAAAAAACTGTGGAGCGACCATTGTGTCCTTCATCCTGCTCATGTCTCATTCATGGGATGTAATGGGTGAAAGCAGGCAACAAGGAAGCATACAAATTGACATTCAACTCATGTCTTTTTGTCCGCGCCCTCTCAGGTAGCCACATACTTAGTAAACTGGAGTCACATCAGCAGCAGATATTGGTTTAACAAAACACTTTTGCACACTTTAATGTGTTGTAGACCAATGTAAAAAGACTAATCTAAAATGTATAGAATAATACCTCAAACAACACTCAATATGCAAAATGATTGTTTTCACATTACCTGAAAAAAGAAATATTCAAATATTTAGACCCTTTGCACTCCAAAGGTGGCCAGGTGCATCCCGTTCGCTTAATTAAAGTATGTTATATACAGTATGATTAAAGCCCGTTCGCTTAATTAAAGTATGTCATATACAGTATGATTAAAGCACATTTAACTTGACCTGTGGCAAATTAAATTGATTAAAAAAGGACTTAGAATTCACACTATCTGTGAGGACAAACCAATTCAGAGACAAGGGACTATTTGAAAACCTTCGCCATATAGAATTGTGGCAAGGCATAGATGAAGCCATGGATAAAGCCATTTCTAAAAAGTGCAAAATGTCATCTTGATGAGCAGTAAACTGTGCTCGTGGAAAGGTAGGGATTTGTTTAGGACAGAGCATGTTAGGATCTGTCTGTGTTGGTGTTTTTCTTGTCTTTTTCTATCTTTGGGTTTCCTGTTTTATTTTGTAAAGTGTTCACCCCCGTTTCCTGCCTGTTTGCTTTCTGTCTGTTTCCCTCCCCGATTACCCGATTGTGTTCACCTGGTACCTCTGTGTTTTCTCCTCCCTCCTCACCTGTCTCGTGTTTATGTGATTAGTCCTGGGTGTATTTAAGTTCTGGGTTTTCTGTCTCTCTTTGTCGGGTTGTCTTGTGTTATGACCAGTTCATCGGTGAGTGTTCCGTGCTGTCTTTGTGTAGCCTATATCTAGCCTTGAAATAAAGGAATTATTGTTACTCTAAATCTGCATTTGGGTCCTGCTTCCTGCACACCGTAACAGCCACCGTAACATTACAC